GCATTTCTCATGAGCAGCGTGAGGGTGGCCAAGGGAGTCGATGTTTTGGATGCACGCCCTTGCGTGCACACACGCGTGTGCATGCATGTGCGAAGGAGGGAGGGCGAGCGGGGTGGGGCAGCAGCCCGCCTGGCCGATGGCAGTGCAGCCGTGCTGGCTGCAAGGCGGATGTACGGGCTACAAAATGGGGGACGCCGCCCAGCTGCTGCTTTCTGGCAGGAGACAAAGGAGCCAGAGATATCCCCGGGGGCCGAGGGCCGGCCACGCGGCCCCTCCCTGCCTCCGTGCGGCCCCTCTGGCTCTGGTAGCACGGCAGGAAGGCCGGAGGGGCCACACTCCCAAGCACCCTCCATCCTGGCTTCTTGCAGCCTTTGCAACCCGATGGACCCCAGGGCGGTGGACGCTGAGCCCCGTGATGGGCAGCTCCAGACCCCTGCACCTTGCCAGAGCCCCCGGCTCAAAGCCTGCTCTCCCCAGAGCCGCAGCCCCTCTGCAGAGCACCCGGGGCTGGGGCTGGGCCTGCTGCAGCATCGCTAAAGAGAGGGCCCAGGGTGCAGGGGGTCTCGGGGGGCTGGGGGTGTTAGGAGGGCACGATGCAGGCGCCGGGGGCACAGCGTAGCGGCCTGCTGGGGCAGGCAGAGCCAAGGGCGGGGGGATGTCTCTGCATCCCCCAGCCCGTGTGCCTGCAGCTGCTGGAGAAGTCGCCCTCCTCCTCCTCCCTGCTGGATGCAGAGACAAAGGAGCTGGGAGCAGAGGCAGGAGGCCGCCTCGCTACCTGCGCGCATCCACCCATCCCCAGCGTCCAGCCCCATGCACCTGGGGACCGCAGGAGGATGCTCCATCGCCTGTCGCAGGGGCCTGCTCCCCCGGGGCTCCCCAGCGCCCCAGCCCAGCCTTACCTGGCTGCAGCAGCGTGGGAGAGCGGAGCAGGCCAGGCTGGCGAGCGGCTTTGTGCGCCCCGTGCACAGGCTCCGCCCGGCTGCTGCGGCTCCCCGTCATCCCTCCCCTGCCTTCCCCCAGCCCGGGGGGAGCAGGGGGGAGCATCTGCGCGGAGCCAGGGACAGCTGCCCCCTGCCCGAGCCATCTGTGCTGCCACCGCCCGGGCCCGGGGCATCCACCCCCTGCCCCAGCCTGGCCTCTGCGGGTGGGCAGGGCGCCTGGGGGGGCTCCACCCTGCACCCCGGCTGTGCACGGGGGCTGGCAGGGGCCTGCAGGCAGCACCTGGGGGTGCAGGGACAGCCAAGCCCCGCTTCTGCTCCTGCACCTGCCACAGCGGCTGGGGCTGGCTCTGGGGTGCTGGCAATGCCCGCAGACCGGCCCAGCCCAGGGCAGCCCTCTGGGGTCCAGGGGGGTTGCCCCATAGCCACGCAGCATCCTGCTCCGCACGGCTGCGGGCACTCGATGCGCCAGCGTCTGGAGAGGCGGGTGCAGCCTGGTCCCACACCCAAGCCCGCACGAAGGCGCGGTGCTGATGCCCCCAACCCTGCAGAAGAAGGGGCGGTGGAGACGTGGCGTGGCGTGGCCTAGCTATGCGGGGGGCTGGAAATGCAGCCAGCACGTGCCCCGTGTGCCAGGGATCCCCTCCTGCGGGCTCAGAGGGGCTGCCAGGCCCGGGCTCTCGACTTGGGACACATCTCCCCAGATGGGCCGGCCCTTCTGAGCCAGACCGGGTCCCGTCTGCGCTCGCTGGGCTCGGCTCCTGGCATGGCTGCAGGTCCCATAAGAACAGCAGGGTCCCACACACGGGGTGACACCGGGTCCTGTGTCACACGGGGCAGAGAGCCGGGGCTGGAAGGGAGCATGACCAGGTCTGCCCAGGGTTTTCCTCCCTTCCTCTCCCCCTTGCAACCTCCAGCACTGAAGGTCTAATTCAGAGGCCGGGCCCCTCGCTCCCCTGCTGAATAGAGACAGATGCCCCTTTCCCCCAAGCCTGTGTGAATCTGGCCAGCCTCTCTGCTTCCACGAAGTCTGGCGGCCACCAGCTCGACACTGGGTGAAAAAGAACATCTTTGTGTTCGTTTTAAACCGACGGCCTCCTAGTTTCATGCTGTGACCTCTCCTGTTCGGGTGACAGCAAATCCCACTTTTAAACCCCACTTTTCACCACGTAGTAGTTTGCAAACCCTTCTCCTGTCCGCCCTCGAGCGCCTCTTTCCGAAGCGGAGCCGGCCTGGCCTCTTGAGTGCTCCTAGGGAAGCCCCTCCAGGCCACTCACCATCCTCGTTACCCTTCTCTAATTCTTCCACCTCCTTGTTGACCAGACCCGGGCGCCGCGTTCAAGGGACCGATGCTTCACGGATTTATTAAGAGGCATCGTGACACTTTCCGTTGCATTCACAGTTCCCCCTCGGGCTGCGTTTGCCTTCCTGAAGGCAACTGAGCACAGGGCTGATGTCTTTAGCCACGTGGCAACGACACCCAGCTCTCTTTCCCAGTGCACAGAGCCCGTCGCAGCCCATCCCCGGCTCCAGCTGCGGGAGCTGCAATGCAAAGGCTGCACGGGGTGATTCGCACTCCTGGCCGAGACCCCCTATGGGACCCAGCCGAGACCTCCCACCTGATGCCGGCACCCCTGGGTGAAGCACGCAGCCCCTTGCTGGATGAAGCCAATGCATCTTTATTGAGCTTTGCTGCGAGCACAGCCGCGGGGGGCAGGTGGGTCCCAAGCCCGCGGGCTCCCACGCGGCGTGCGGGGCCAGGGAGGAGGAGGTAGAAAAAGCGGGGGCCGCGGCGTCGGCGCTCACTGCTGGATCCGCCGAATGGACTGCACCTGGCAGGTCTGCGCGTGGGAGCCCAGCTCCCAGAAGTGCTTGTAGTCCCCGCCGTGGCAGTCGCACTCCAGGGTGTACTGGAAGCCCCGGTAGCCGGGGTACTGGAAGCAGACCCAGCTGGGGAGCAAGCACAGGGGGGCCGTCACCTCCCCGCGGAGACCCCCGGGAGCAGGCGGCGGGTCCCTCCTGCCCCAGCTTGCCCCGGGCCAGGACCCCGCGGGGCAGGTACTCACGCGCCGGAGTGGACGCGGAAGGATCCCACCTCTTTGCTGTTCCAGCCCATGGCCGGCAGCGAGGGGTAGTCGTCGCTCAGGTCCCCTTTCCTGCCCAGGAAGTTCTCCCGCTCGTAGATGGTGATCTTGCTGTCCCGGTGGTTCTGCGGGGAGCACGGGGCCCGCGTGAACTCGGCACCGCCGCCCTGCCCTGCTCCCCCGGCCCGCGGGCAGGGGCCACCAAGCATCCCGGAGACGGCTCGAGAGAGGCCCCCCGTGCCCATTTGCTCCTGTCGATGTGCCTGAGTGTGGTTAGCGCCTGCACCTTTAGCGGCGCCCGTCTTTTGCCGGTGTGAGGTAGTCACTGGAGTAAAATGGGTGCCAGCAAATACCGCCCGGCCCCTCCGGGAAGGGAGAGGAGGGAAGCCTGAGCCTGGGTGTAGGGAGCTTGTTCCCCCGAAAGCCGGGGGGCGGGGGGGCACTCACAGCGCAGGCGATGGGCCGGAAGGAGTTCATGCGCTCCACGTGGTAGGCGTTGCTGCCGCTCCAGGCCTCCCAGCTGGGGTACTCGCCACGCTCCAGCACGAACTGCTGGCCCTGGAAGCCCCCGTGCTCGAAGCCCACCCACCTGCGGGGAGAGCCGGCTGGGGTCAGCGCCCAGCAGCTCTGTGCCCGCAGCAGGTCCGTGCCCTGGACGTCCAGGGCACGCACCCATGTCCAGGGACGCATCCAGCCCCCCGACAGCAGCCGGGCAGGGCTGTGGGGAGCGTGGCAGCTGCCCCAGGCAGGGGGTGGCAGGGTAGGGCCCCGCACGGGACTCACGCGCCGCTCTCGATCTTGACGGAGCGGACGGTGTCGAAGCTGAACTCGGTGATGTTGTAGCACTCGGAGGTGAACTCGTGGCGCCGGCCCTGGAAGTTCTTCTCGTCCCACACCACGATCTGGGGAGCAGAGCGGGGTCAGGGGCTCGCGGGGCTCCAGCTCTCGCCCCGTGATGCCCACCCAGGAAAAGGCATCTCCTCCCGTCCGGATGCTCAGTGCTTGCAGCGCAGCCTCCTGCCCCGGCTGCATGCCAGCAGAGAGAGGGTTAACACCTCTGGGGCTGCAAGGGGACCTGGGGGTATTGCATCCTTTCCCCGCAAGCCCTTGCCCTGCGCCCCCGCCGGGGTGGTCCCATGCGCAGGGGTACCCCTGGCAGTGCAGGAGGGGCTTGGCATCCACTCGCCCCCAGCACGATCACCCCCTACCCTCATCCCCAGCCCAGCACACCTTCCAGAGACCGGAGAACTTGGTGCAGTGCTGGCTCATGACGGCTCCTCCGGCTCGGTCCTGGGACAGCGAGAAGATGCGAGCCCCGAGTGAGCTCCTAAAGTTGCCTCCGACCCCTCCCAGCCCATTCAAGCAGCAACTTCCTCCCCGGGGAACAATCCTGGTGCAGCTGCACACGGCTGGGGCTGCTCGTTGCTTTGAGCGGCACCATCCGTGCCCCTGTGCCTGCCTTGCCAGGTGCTGCTCCGAGGGACCCGCATGCTCTCTTGCAAGGCCAGGACCCCCGCCGGCCCTCTGCCCAGGTGGGAGCAGCTGTCGCGGGGGGGGGCAGTCAGCAGAGCCAAGGACTGCAAACAGGCCCAAGATGCCAGAGCGACTCGGCTGCAGGCCCCATCTCTGCCAGGCTGCTAATCCCCCTCGAGCCCAGCCGCACGGACAGGATGCTTCCCATGCACATTCCCGCAGGCCCCGGTCTCCCCGGAGCACAGTGCATGCAGGTTGGGAGCGCCGCGCTTCCTCCGCCCACTCCGGCTCCCCCGAGACCCCCACGTCCGGCTCTGGAGCCCCTGCCCCAGACCATTGCTCTTGCGCCACAGAGAGCCACGAGTGCACTGCCGGCCCCTGGGCCCTACCTGGCGATCGGCAGCTGGACTTGCGAGGAGCTAACGTGGCCAGGCAGCGTGCCGACAGGGTTTATATAGCCTCCAGATAGAGACGAGCAGGGAGAGCATTACCGAAACCCCTAACTCAGCACACGGGCTGGGAGGGGGAGGGAGGCCCATGGAGAACAAAAGCCGCCCTATAGAGGAGCGATGCACAGGGAGGCCGGTGGGCAAGTGCCCCCAGCCCAGCCTGAGGGCGGCATCTCCCCCAGGCCGCTGTGCGCAAGCATCAAGGCCTCGCCTTGCTCCCCGCTGGTGCCAGCCGCCACCCTGAGCCAGCGAGCTAGGGGTTAAATGCATCTCTCCAGCACTTTGCCCAGGGCCTCGGGTACAGCCGAGGGGAGCAGGGGCTGGCGCAGGGCGGGGGTTGCGCCCCAGGTCCCCGGCTTTCCAATTTGGTTTGCACGGGATGAGGTGTCTGCTCACAAAACCATCCCTGCATGTGACACCGGGAGGCAGCCTCTGCTCGGGCAGCGTCCAGACGCCCTGGCGGCATTGCTGCGAGCCTGGCATGCACAGCTGGGGCTTCGGGCATGCAGCGCTGCAGGGAGCAGGGGCGGGCTGAGCACTTGGGGGGCACCGCTCTGACACCCCCTGCTGCAGCCACGAGCTTCCTAGTGACCGCTGCCTTGGACTTGTCTTATCCACCACCATCACCCCTTTGACCACAGACCGGCAGGCAGGTCCCAGCCCCGTGGGACCATGC